AGTAGAAGTGGTAGTAGTAGTAGAAGTAGTAGTAGTAGTACTAGTAGTAGTAGTAATACAGTAGTAGTAGTAGTAGTGAGACGCAGATCTAGGATTTCTTAGGGGGGGAGGGCCAACATTTGAAAATATGCGAGCCAAATATTTGTACGTAATGGTGACACCGGCAGTGACAACAACTTTTTTTAAACCGTATTTTTAGTACAGTAGTACTAGCAGTAGTAGTAGTAGTAATAATAATAATAACAGCAGTAGTAGCAGTAGTAGCAGTAGTAGTCAGGCGCGGATCCAGGATTTCTTAGGGTAGGGGGCCCAATTTTTTTTTTTTTTTTTTTGCTCCCGAAAATTTGAAAATCGCGCCGGCAGAAAAGTCGCTCATTGGGGGGGGGGGGGGGGGGGGGGGGGGGGGGGGTGGGGGATAGTGAGCACATTTTTCTTTTTGCTCCCGAAATTGAAAATCGTGCCCGTAGAAAAGTCGCTTAGTGAGGGGGGGGGGGTAGTGAGCACATTTTATTTGTTTTGGTCCTCGAAAATTTAAAAATTTGCACCTTTTGGGGGCCAACCCCCCAAAAAGGTAAAAATCACGTGTTTTTACATGATTTTCTTTCTCAAGGGGGGGGGGGGGGGCGGCCCCCCCCTCCCTGGATCCGCCACTGGTAGTAGTAGTAGTAGTAGAAGTAGAAGTAGTAGTAGTAGTAGTAATAGTATTAGTAGTAGTAGTTGTAGTAGTAGTTGTAGCAGTAGTAGCATTAGTAGTAGTATTTTAGTAGTAGTCCTAGTAGTAGTAGAAGCAGTAGTAGAAGTGGTAGTAGTAGTAGTAGGGCAATTCCACGGTAACGGAAGGACACTCAGACAAGATCTTTGAACTTCAGGTTCATACTAAAAGAACTGTTTTATTAGTATGTATTAAACTATGGGGAACAAAATGTGTTTCAGTCAAGTGGAAAGCTTCATCAACTTCACAAAGTTTGGATAAACACTAATAACTGGAAAAACCATGTCCTTTTTTATGTCCTTCCGTTACCGAGATAATTAATATGCACATTCTTAAAACTACTTAAACTATAATGACTATTTTTGGGGGGAGAATTAAAGGCACTTATATAGGTATTATATCTGTACTGTTTCACATCTTATACTAATAAAACAGTTCTTTTAGTATGAACCTGAAGTTCAAAAATCTTGTCTGAGTGTCCTTCCGTTACCGTGGAATTGCCCAGTAGTAGTAGTAGTTATATATAGTAGTAGTAGTAGTAGTAGTAGTAGTAGTAGTAGTAGTAGAAGTGAGACGCGGATCCAGGATTTCAGAGGGGGGGGGGGCAAATTTGAAAATATGCGAGCCAAATATGTGTACGTAATGGTGACAACGGCAGTGGCAATTTTTTTTGTTGGGGGGAAACAAAAATCATGCAGGCCCCGCTGAATGTTTCTAGGAGGGGGTCGAGGGGTGGAGCCCCATTAGCTCAGGGAGTATAGGCGTTTAATTGCGGTCAGATGAGCATATCTTGATACCTTATTTGTGACACTGACAGGACACTAATTGGTGCGGGGTCCAGGTGGTGGAGCGGCCGGAGCCCCAGAAGCTCAGGGGTTTTGTACATTAAATTACCGTCAGATCAGCATATTTTGATACCTTATTTCTGACACTTGCAGGTCACGAATCAACGTGGGGTCCAGGCAGCGAAGCCCCCTGAAGCTCAGGGTTTTGGGCAATACATACGATCAGATGAGCATATTTTGATACCTTATTTTTGACATCTGCAGGACACAAATCGGTGTTGGGTCCAGGGGGCGGAGCCCTCAGAAGCTCAGGGGTTTTGTCCATCAATAAATTTATCGTCAGATGAGCATGATTTTATACCTTATTTGTGACACAGGCAGGTCACGAATTGGCGTGGTCACGGGTTGGAGGCCCCGGAGGCTCAGGGATGTTAGGCAATATATTACGGTCAGATGAGCAGCTAGGGGCCCGCCTTAGGGCCATTGGTTGGGTTCGGGGGGGGGGAGAACCCGGAAGCTCAGGGCTTTAGGCATGTATTTACGTCAGATGAGCAAAATTATACCTTATTTGTGACACTGGCAAGTAAATAATTGGCGTGGGTCCAGGGGAAGCACTTCAGAAGCTCAGGGGTTTTAGGCATATTATAATGGTCAGACAAGCATGCAGGGGCCCGCCTTAGGGCTCCTGGTGGGGTCAAGGGGGTGGAGTTCCGGAAACTTAGGGGTTTTAGTCATTTCATTACGGTTAGATGAACATATTTTGATACCTTATTTGTGACACTGGCAGGACACTAATTTGCGTGAGGTCCAGGGGGACGAGACCCCAGATGCTCAGGGGTTGTTAACAATTAATTACCGTCAGATTAGCATCCGATCGTCCGCCTTAGGGCCTAGGTGGGGTCCAGGGGCAGAGCAACTGGAAGTCAAGGGTTCTAGGCATTAAATAACGGTCAGATGAGCATATTTGTATACCTTATTTGTGACACTTGCAGGACTCAAATTGGCGTGAGGTCCAGGGGCCGAGACCCAGGAGTTCACGGTTCTTAAGCATTAAATTACCGTCAGATGAGCATCCAGGTGCCTGACTTTGGGTCCTAGGTGACTTGACGAGTGCCATAATCATGCAAAATAAATAGTCTGTGACGACTTTCGAATTTGGAAGAAACTTTTAATTTCTTAAGAGGGTACTAACACATAGTTGAAATAACGCTGCTCCAGAGAAATATATTTATATGCATTTTGAGAAGCGCTGGACAATACTAAAACTTACATCCTTCGTGGAAATTAGCAACCGCACTGGCATTGCATAAAGTAATGTAAAGGGAAATGTGAAGTAATGAGGAAGATAACGTGCTATTGTATTTGAACAAATATGGGTTCATACATTGGATGGAAGCCATCTCTCAATGTGTCAGATCGTCTTTTGCTATTGAATCCTGATTGTCCACGCGGTAGTTGTTCAAGAGGGTAATTGTTTTCGGGGGGTAATTGTCCTCGGGGGTAGTTGTCCTCGGAAGGTAATTGTCCTGGGGAGGGGTAATTGTCCTCGGGGGGGGGGGTAATTGTCCTCGGGGGTAATTATCCATCTTTGGTTATAGTGTGGAGGACGGCCGCGAGATGTGCCCCCTCTCTCCCAATCGACTCACACATTCAATATCTCCCTTCATCCGCCCCCATCCAGCATGTTGTACATGGCGCCGGCGTACACCTCGCCGCCCCCCCCCTCCTCATGCTTGAAGTTGCAGCGGAAATGATCTACGACAATTGCAGTCATGGTAGTAGTTAGCCGGATCTCAGCTGCCTAGAAACGAGACGTTCATCACACAACTTATAAACACCCCTTCACATACATAACGCTGCTTTCTGTTGGGATGGAGTTGTTTATAAAACGCCCCTAATTATTGGACTAATTTGTTCTATATAGCACACAGACTATACAGTATACATTTACAACCTGTAACTTCGGTTGTTTTTTATCCTGAGGTGAAATATAATGTCAAATGATCACATCATTCTTGATATATTAATGTTGACAATTTTGTTGCTTTCACAAGAGAGGCAAACAAGTTGAGCAATGAATGCAATGCAATGTAGGCAAGAGATGTGTCAAGTCTTCGTCACGTTGAATTCATGAATGAGGCACAAACGGTAAATCTGACACTAAAAATGAAACAACTGCAACAACAGATTGATCATGATGATGACTATAATCCGCCATGTAATCAAAAGCGTTTCATACACGCATGGAATTGTTGTGGTCGCCGGATGCTTCTCACGTGATAAGGAACATATAATGTAACTTTGAATTTGTACTTCAATTTCTGGTCATGGTTATATTTCTATATTCTATTTGTAAAGAAATGTTCAAAATGTCATAAGATTTGCAGCGAAAATGGAATTGATATCACCTAATATATTTTGCCTATCATTATTTTCAACAGCATTATGGAGCCTTTGCAGGAAATCGAGCTGATATCACTAGCTGAAGACATAGGTCCGGGCAAATACTCAAAACTGTGCAACGCTCTGGGGTATTCCTATGCAGTAAGTCAATCACACATCGTCAAGCATCTCAACAACGTCATGAAGCTCTGGTGGAGCTCCTCATCAAATGGAATAACAATCAAGGAGACAGCACCCAAACCGATCGATACTAGCAAGCAAACTCCATGAATTACGACTTCGTGATTTAGGTGATAGACTATCAGAAGTAAACATTTGTTTTGAATTACACTGGGCTCATAGAAATACATATATATATAAGGTCCTATAATACTGCCAATATTATTATGAGAGGAAATATGAATCGGAAAAAGTTTCATGCTTTGAATCAAGCTGTT